GTTGGGTTCTTACTTATTTAATATATACATATATATAATTATAAGGAAATTATATTTTAAAATTTAATAACTATTCAGTTTTCATCAAACTTTAAGGCGATTTTATATTTTCAAGTTAACATTCATACTGGATATATAAAATTAAATTCCCGTATATAAAATATATACATACATGTATATGTTTATATTTTTTCCCTAACTTATTTGTATATTTTATATCGAAACTAGTTGAATTCATTTTTCTATTTCAGTAATGCAAATTTTTTATAGTCTGTCTATACCAAGTTGACATTATTATTGTAAGAGAACTCCTATATTTTTCATTAAATACTTTTCAAAAATCAAAATGAAAAATATAATTATCAAAAATTTAATAAAAAAAGGTTAAAAAAATCAAAATATTAACTAAAAAATCAATTAAAAAATGTCACATATAGTAGTAGTGATATGTAGGATTTTTTTTTAAAAAAAAAATAAATAAATAAAACAAATTAGAACTTTACAAAAGCCCATTTAGAAAGAGGAGAGGGGCATCATCACGGTTATCATGGCATCTTTTTTGTTGAAGTCATGTTTAATAAGTAATGACCATAACATATTAGTTTAACTGTAAAAATTTTGACTATAATCTATTGTACTAAAATTGTCAATCAAGAAAGATAATAATATTTTTATAAAAAGAGGACCAATCGCCAAATATAATATTATGCACAACGAAAATTTTTATAATGTATAAATAATTTATTTCAATTTTTTGATATTATTGACAACTTATTCAATTCTTAATATAACTAAATTGACCGATATATAAAGAGTACTAAGTAGTAAGTACTAATAACAGAACAGAAAATGCTACAGTCCTGTTACGGAATCATTCCTTTAGGATTTGTAACCGTTAGATTATCATATAACCAACATGTTAGATCATATAACCATTAAATCATCAATTCTCTGATAGAATAGTTACGAGACCGTAGAATCTCTCACTAGCATATACGTAACGAGAGAAATTGTTGCGGCAAATTTTGTATTTCAAAATTCATCATCCGCCATTTTATTTTCAATACATATTATCCTTTTTGTAGGTAGAGCTCGTTGATTACATGATTCTTAACCCGGCCCAGACAAAAAAGCCCATTCTACGACCCAACTTCATTTTCTTCGCCAACTCCATCACTAATCGCCATCCTCACAACTTGGAATATGACTGCAATACCATCACAAAAAAAAATTAATAATAATAATAAATAATAATAATAAATAAATAAAATGCAAACTAATTATAATTCCACAATTTTAATAAAGTAATTCTTATGACGTAAAGAAAATTAATGATCATATGATTCTAATAAAAAAAATACCAAATCAATTCAAACTATTGGGAAATGTTACCGTCTCATTATAGAACCATTCCGTCGATGTTTGTAACCGTTAGATGATCATGTAACCGTCGTGGATAGTTGATCCAACGGTTACAAATTTCGACAGAATAGTTCCGTAACGGGACTGTAGAATCCCCATTATTATTATGAGTAATGCTCCCCTACCCACGGACACATGTTAATATGTCCACCGCTTATGTGGTATGCATACATTGGTGATGTTAATATGTTTAAAAAAATACATCACTAATATATGCATGTCATATAAACGGTGGGCGTATTAACATGTGTCCACCATGAGTAGGGAGCATTACTGTTATTATAATTATTTCTTTAATCAAAAGGGTGGCAAAAGTTTAAAATGAGAGGATATTCGGTTTTGACTAAATTGGTGCATATTATTATTAATAAACAACGCAATCCTTAAATTTTTATAAATCAAGATGGACCCCATTTTTGTGTACATTAAAATATAATAAATGCATAATGAATTCAAATAACGTGATAATTAGAATTAAGAATTTTGTACTATAATAGGTGTGATTTAATAATATTCCTTTCGTAGACGTTATCATAGTGAACAAAATTGCAATTTTTTTCCTCTTTTATCCTTCTTATTCACATTCTTCCCACAAAACATAATATATTGAAGAAGAAGAAAGAAAGAGGCTTTTAACTCTGTGGGAAATGCTAGGGTCACGTTACGGAACCATTCTGTCAGAATTTGTAACTGTTAGATTATCATGTAACAGTCGTGGATAGTTGATCTAACGGTTACAAACCTCAACGAAATGATTCTGTAACGGGACCGTAGATTTTCCGTCTCTCTTAAGCATAAAAGATTGATTAAAAAAAACTTACAAGAGGCGACCACCAAGACTGCAAAGAGAATGAGAACAATGTGAGCTGGCTCGAATCCATTTTTAGACGAACCGCTGGCGCCGGTGCCTCTTCTCGTTATGTTCTTCTCGAATTTTGCCACCTTCTTCTCTGAGAGCCGCTTCGACACCGTCTGCCGGAATAATCGAAATAAAAATCATTTAGCACTGTTAAAAGGCTAATTGTGGAGCAAGTAGTCTTAAATTTCAATACAACTGCACAAGTTCAATTGTCTGTCCATAAATTGGATGATATAGTAATTATTATTATAAGTTTTTCCAAATCATGGAAGATTTCCTTCCTTCTTTTTTTTTCTTTATTTATTTATTTATTTAATAATTAACAAGAATATGGTATAAAAGCTAGAAATATAAAATTATCTTTAAATGTCCTTTAAAACAAAGTAAATATTTATGTTGAATTTTATCAAAATGTATCTTCCTGCTTTTCATTTAACAAGATGAGGAAAATAATCTTAAATGTTTGATACCCTAATTAGGGACTGAAACAAAACCACCATCAAATAAAATAATTAAAAAAAAAAAAAAACAGAACAGTGGCTGCACAGAGTCATAGATTTCTTGCAAATAAAATGAGGAGCAAATTATAATGAAGGGAAATGCTACAGTCATGTTACGGAACCATTACGTCATGATTCGTAACCGTTTGATCATCATGTAGTCGCCGTGGATAGTTGATCTAACGGTTATAAACTCGAAAACTGGAAACTGAAAACATTAAACATTAAAAACAGCAAAAACTTGAACATTGACAACACAAAACTCTCTCATGTACGAACTTGACAAATAAAAATGAAAACTGAAGATTGAACCAAAAGAGGTAGCAAAAGCTGGAGTTATAAAAAACTTGATTCGATTCGATACGACGATGATAACGGCTAAGGATTAAAAACAGTAGACGAGAGAAATTACCATGTTTTCTGGTCGGAATTGGAGATTATGTTGTAGAAAGCAGGCTGTTGCCGTCAGAGGATTCACAATAACTAATGACAGAAAGGTAGGACTTTGTCTGTGTACCAGTTGTTCTATATATTATACTTGTGTGACCCTCTCAATTTTGAGTTTTTGTCTTTTCTTTTTTTTTTCTCCTTTTTTTTTCCTTTTACCTAAGTCAAAAATTAATCTTTTATCTTTCAAAAATTTCCTTCAATAGTTATTTCTTTTAAGGCTAATAAAGATTGCAGCATCTTTCTATTCTTTTTCCCAATTTACTCATCATTTCACAATTTTTATAATTAAATATATTAAAGTATATGTTTTTGCAAATTAATGCATCACATAAAATTCCCCCGCTTGAGGTATGACGTGGCAGAGAAATTTTAGAAATCATTCCGTCAACGGGACTGTTGTCGTTCCCAAAATTTTAACTGGTAATAAATTAATGAGATACGATGCAATTAAGCGCCTCTATTGTGCATTCTATAGTCGAGCCGAGCTGGAATCATAAAATAAGATGTTCATAGATGAAAATTTCCAAAGGAGTACTCTTGCAATACACGACGGTCAAACTCTACCTTAACAATTTTTTTATAAAATTGCAAGTTGTTGATTACATGTCAAACAACCCGATGTAGCTCTATCTCACTCAGGCCGGGTTGGGCTCCTAATCAGCTCCGACTAATGAGACAGAAGTTGGAAC